TCATGACAAAGTACGGACCCATCGTCAGGATCGCACCGAATCTCGTCATTCTCAACGACTCCGAGTCAGTGGAGAAGATCTTCGTCAGGAAAGATCTCGACACTTCGCCAAAATCTATTCGAGCCCTTCGTGTCGGCGGCCATGACTGGACTGTCACGTACCCTCAACATCCCATCGCGCGGCAAAGACGTCACCCCGTCATGATTGCTACTACGACAAAGAACATGAAGTTCTGGCACGATACCTTCGTGACCAACATCGAAGCCATGGTCCGTGATCTCGGAAAGACAGAGGGTCAAAAGTCGGAAGACATTGTCTACCACCTCCGCATCTGCACCCTCAAGAACTCGCAAGTCGTTATGGGCGGTACAGGTGTCGACCTCGAGTCCAGCGAATTCCCACACGTTGTCGGCGAGTACAACTTTCTCGTCGTTTGGCGTCTGTGTCTCCCAGAATGGCTATTCGCATGGCTCCAGTACAGCCCGTTCGCCCATGCGCGCTTCCGCGTACGATCCAGTGACAAGCTCTTTGACCTAGGCGCAGCGCTGTGCAAGCAGGCCAAGGAAATGGCCGAGGACTCAACCGCCAACGTCTTCAAGCTCTTCACTGACCCAGACGCAAAGTACCCCCTCGAAGATTCATGGACGGACCCGGAAATCGGCGCGGAAATGGCAGGCCAGGTACTCGCTGCTACTGAGACGACCTCATCAGCCCTCGCATTCATCTACTACGAGCTAGCAAAGAACCCAAGTCTTCAAGAAGAACTGTACGAGGAGGTTGCCGCCCACGAGGGTTACGAAGAGCTTGACTCGTTGAAGCTCCTTTGTGCATGCGTTAACGAAGGTCTGCGTTTCCGCCCACCAGTCGCTCTAACAGGTTCCCGCCTCGTACCAGAGGGTGGCATCAATGTCCTCGGCTACCACCTCCCCGCCGGCACGGTCGTCACCACACAGTCCCTCAGCATGTCTCGCCAGCGTCCCGACCTCTTCCCCGACTTCGATACCTACAACCCGCGACGCTGGCTCGTCGAGGATGAATACAGTGCTGAGCGAAAGAAGCATCTTGTTCCTTTTGGTGTAGGAGCGAGACGCTGTCCAGGAGGCAACATGGCGACGTACCAGATGCGAGTCATCTTGGCGGCTACATTCAGGGCGTTCAAGGTTGAACTTGCGCCGGAGACAACGCCAGAGGCGATGGCGCCTTTTGAGGCGAATGGATACAGGAGCAGGCACGATCGATGTGACCTGATCTTCAAGCCCAGGACCGCGTGATGTTAGGTGTTGAGGCTTTCAATACTCTATTTTCTTTTCTCTTGTCTCCTCTAGTACTTATGTCACTCCCTTGGGCAAAGCGTGCCGAGTGTATGGATGACTTTGATGAATTGGAACATATCTCATCATCTCCAATGAGCAGGATGTTCGTCTCTCATTCAAATTGCTACAGGATATACCCAAGTAGTGCTTCTGCAAGCACAGGAAGTTTGTAGAATAACGTCAAAATCAAGCGTCGCGTTACTCACATTATGGCATGACCAGATTCGCGATCCGATCCGTACAAACAATGCGTGCATCAGGTATATGATCGAAGAGATACCAGCCCCCAGCGAGGAGGAGCATTGCCGTGGTGGCTGGCGACAAGAAGATGCCTGCTAACACCGGAACAGGTAGGTGCGAGCGATGACGCGTATCCAATGACGTCATTACGTGACTTGCGAAACACCACATACCCAGGTCCACACAACGATTCACGACGACGAGCCAAAGTCAAGACATGTCACAAACCAGGAACCTCCCTCTCGTCCTACGCTGTAACAAAGCGCACTGCGCATGTAGGAGTACGTGGACACATTCCAGCATCGCGGGCGATCCACAACGCGGGGACAAAGAGCTGTATGTTGCGGGGCTTCCGATAGGGCCTCGACTCGCATCTTGAAGCAGGCTTCCCATGCCAGAAAGGCAGCCATAATAGAGCCGAATGTAGGGGGTTTACTAAAGAGCAGCTTAATACACTATTCTCTAGTAGGTATAGGCATTATATATATTAAAAAAGAATTTTTAAATCTTAATAAAAAAAAAGTTATAAAGCTAAAAATACTAGTAGAAATAGTAGTAGTAGTAAAGAAAAAAGTAGTAGTAAAAAAGCTATATAATAAATATTCTTTATATAAAAATTTATATTATCTTAAAATTATAATACTTAGTTACTTTATTATTATAATAGTAAGCTATAGTTATTAATTATAAGTTCTATAGTTATATATAAGACTATTATTATTACTTAATTACTATAAAAAAAGCTATTTTACTAAGTAATTTTTAAGTACTAAGCTATAAAGCTTAGTTTAAGCTTCTTTAAGCTAAGAATATATTATATACTTTTATTTTATAACTTTTTTAATACTAGTAAAAAGCTATACTAGACTTAGATAGTTAGTTAAAGATACTCTATAGCTTATATATTTATCTTAATGCAGGCTTTCTATTACTCTTAGAGCAATTAGATTACTTTCCAACCTTACATATCACTTATCCAATGTCATTCGCATGGACGACTACGTCGATGCCTCGGCCGCAGCCGCAGCTGCCTTTGTACCTGTCATGCCGCCCGGGTCCTTATCAGCGCAAACGCCACAGCCGTACTCCCATGGCGCATCATCGTGCGTGTGATCTGCGTATGCGTTGTTTCAGACGCACCATATGCGGCACGCGGAGCTTAACGAAAGCTTGATAAAAGCTTGGAAAGCTTGGTCGCATGCTTGTAGGCCCATGATCGCGGCTGCGACAATCCGGCCGGTGTGACCGCCTGTTCCTGGTCGAGCGCTGGTGATTGGAGCGTTTGCAGTTGGGCAGGTAGGTTTGCTTCTTTGGAGGTGGGCGTGATGCATGCGTTGGTTGGAAGGCACGAAGGTACTTATGCCGCCTTGTCGTCGTTGCTTCGAGGGAAGTAATTCTTTCTCGACTTTGTCTTGTTGCTTCTGTGTTGTAAGAAGAATCTCGTCACCAACATCCACAAATCCATCAAATCCAGCAACACAACATCACCATGGCATCTCTACAACGCCTCGCGATCCAGCGTAGCCCAGCCTACAAGCCCGCTGGGGTCAAGAGCTACGTCTATGCCATGACAAAGTGTCCGTCACCCGTTCCTTCCATCTTTACCCCGTATAGTCTCAAACTAACATGCACAGATGGCTTCCACCCTACAAAACCGGGCCCATACTTCCAAGCCAAGGTCATGTCGCAGCAAGGCAAGTTCGGTAGAATTGGCGGCCGCATGCGATCACGCTACGTTCTCAAGAAGCGCAACGAAACATCGGCACCAGGTGGTGCGCAAAGCAAAGCCGCAGCCCCAAGCGATGGCACTCCAACTGAAGGTGAAGTTCCCGCCGAAGACATACAAAACGACTCCTTGTATCTCTGTGAAGTCGGCGTTGGAAGACCCGAGCAGAAGATCTACCTGGACTTCGATACTGGATCTTCGGATCTTTGGGTATGTTGCGTTATTTGACGATTTGACCACATTACTAAGATGTGCAGGTCTGGTCCACCGAACTCCCCAAGAACATCCTCAGTTCAGCAGATGCGTCGAAGCAGCAGGTCGCTTTCGACCCCTCAAAGTCAAGCACATTCAAGAAACTCGACGGCGAGACATGGAAGATCTCGTACGGAGACTCGTCTTCCGCAAGCGGTGACGTCGGTACCGATGTCGTCAACTTGGGTGGCCTCAAAGTTGAGAACCAAGCTGTAGAGCTTGCAAAAGAGCTTTCGCAGCAATTTGCCGAGGGCAATGGCAGCGGACTCCTTGGTCTGGCCTTCAGTTCCATCAACACTGTTTCTCCAACCCCGCAGAAGACGCCCGTCGATAATATCATCGCACAGAAGAGCGCTAAGGAGCAGCTTTTCACCGCGTACCTTGGTAGCTGGCGCGACACGAACGAGGCTGACAAGGGAGAAGTAAGTGTCTCGTGCCGTGTGCTCGTACTCAATTCTAATAAGACATCAGAGTTTCTACACCTTCGGCTTCATCGACCAAGACGTCATGACAGCCTCCGGCGCGTCCGAGCCCAACTACGCCGCAGTCGACAACAGCCAAGGCTTCTGGCAAATCGCCTCCACATCCGCGACCATCAACGGCCAGACTGTCGACCGATCTGGCAACACCTCTATTATGGACACCGGTACCACTCTCTGCCTCGTCGATGACGCCCTCGTTGACGCCGTCTACAAAGCCATTCCCGGCGCCAAATACGACCAGAGCAACCAGGGTTATGTCTTCCCCACCTCCACCTCCGCGGACGACTTGCCCGATATCAAGCTCGCCATCGGAGACGCCATGGTGACGTTCCAGAAAGAGGACTTGGGCTTTGCGGATGCTGGAAACGGTATGGTGTACGGAAGTATTCAGAGTAGGGGGTCTATGGATATGGATATCTATGGCGATGCTGTGTTGAAGGCTATGTATGCTGTAAGTTGTGCTGAAACTGTTGCTTCATTTTTGGAAATGATGCTAATGTGCTATACTAGATCTTCGACATGAACAACGGGAGTCCGAGGTTCGGGTGGGTGCAGAGGAAGGAGAAGACTCAGAATACTGATGCGCCGCCTTCGTAGTGGACTTGGAGTGCGCTTTTCAGCAGAGAGGATGAGCTCAGATTCCTGGCTCGAGCTGAGTATGTCGTTACCCAGTGCATGATGTAGCAAGTAGCTTCAGGTTATGACATGAATTCTTATATTATCAATGAATACTATGCGCAATGAACATACGAATGCCCATCTTCTGTCTCTTACATCACACGTTAACGTATCATAATGACTACAACATGGTCCAAGAAGGTCCTTTATACTGCAACAAAGCACGTTTCCATATACATCGGAATCCAATTCTTGGAAAGAAAAGCATCAACCTTTATCTCGCACTAGAGGCGGTGTATAGCGGACACTGAAACCAGTACCCTCATCTTCTCATTCCAACTGTACAGCGACGCACCAGACGGTACTAGACTACATCATACACCCATTCGACTTGCTAGAATGCAAATCCGAAACATCCAAGCGTATCCTCCGTCCCTCAACCATCAGATAGCTCTCAACCAGCCACTCGTACCAAACCTTACGGTCATCCGTCTGCCTCCAGAAACTGACTTCGACCTCTGAGTTTGCGGGGAGCTGCATGGGAGTCTGCAACATAAATTAGCCACCATTCTGAACTTCCTATAATCAGTGAATAACGTACCTTGAGTGGGAACAAGATCGGGAACCAAGAAATCATATCCTTGCTCTTCGCCTCCATAGTGACTGGATTCGTGCTCAACTCCACAGGTCCTTCCGATCCACTGTACAGCACGGTTTCGAAGTACGCGCCGAGACCATGGCATACACCCGGTTCTTGGATAGGGAAGGCGATGCGGCAGTAGCGTAGGTTATGTTCGTTTGCGCCGTCGCCGCCGCTGAAGCCACCACCGCCACCTATCGCCGAACCGCCTTTCCTGAGCGAAGACTGCGCTAGAACGGAGGGAGGAAGGGGGTGTGTGAAATCCCAGGCTGTTTCAACCTTGGGTGTGAGAGGGGCCTCGAGGTTGAAATGCTGCATCCTTGTGCCGTTGCTGAGTTGTTTGGATGCGACGGTTTCTTCGGAGGAGGTGGAGAGGTAGTCGAATTGAGTGAGCATGACGACCCAAGGTATGTCGAAAGCGTTGGGGTCGACGCTGGTACTTCTAGTATACAGGTCGGACCAGAGCTTTGGCGTGGAGATGGGGGTGAAGTGCGCGGTGTAGCTGGAGGGTATCGAGATGCCGTGAGTGGGGTTTAGGACGTGTTGCACGCCGTCGAGACATTCGGGCGATAGCTCGTTGTCGGCGAAAGAGCCGAGAAGCTCGCTGACGAGAATGTCAACTTTACCGAATGTGCCGTCGGCGAGGGTTGGACCTTTCCAGGCGCGCATGTCGGTCTTAACGACTGTGACGCGTCCACCCCAGGTTTCGATGTTGTGCCGTTGAAGCAGTACGTATGCGTTGGGGTTCTTCTCGATGGCGTAGACTTGTACGGGTACACCAGAGCTCGCGCTGGCATTTAGCGCGCGCGTCACAAGCGGACCTCGACCGGATCCTACGACTGCGACAACGACGGCACCGTTGCTAGAACTGGTTGATTTGCCCTCGGCATGCCAGTCTTTCAGCGCCTGAGCGATGGCGCGCTCGTACCACGCGTACTTGATTGGATCCTTTTCGAACACCTCGTATGTAATAGATTCCAGGTTGTCCGTCAGGGGTTGCAGTGGGCTCTGGAGATAGTCCTGGAATCCACCACCAAACCGTTCGATTTGGCTCTTAGGAGGCTGGTTACGCTGCAAGTATCGCATGTAGCTCAAGTGAGGTGTTGGGTCGTTGTTGCTACTGCTCTTCTTGGGAAGCTTCTTTGCAATCTCGGCTGCTTCAGCTGGGGTTGGTGCGACTGTTCCTGATGATCCTGGGCTCGGTGCGTCTTCTACAGTGCGGGGGGATAGGTGGCCTGTGGAGTATGACATTATCATGTCCGGATCGTCAATACCTGGTAGCTGGCCGACATCTGAGATGAGTAGCCAAGGACCGCGCTGCAGGCGCATGCAACGGAAAATGAAAACCTGGTGTGCTTTGGACAGGACGTAAGATTGACGAGCGTTGACTAGGAAAGAGGAAGCGTGCAAGTTGAGAAGTCGCACAGGCTCAGAGAACCAACGTGACTGGACAGCCAAGGATGGCAGGCGACGCGGCATATCGAGCATGACTGCTAACCTGTTATGGTACTTGCAAATCGATCGAATGGTGTTCCACGCATCCCATGAGCTCCAAGAATCGACGTTCTTCGACTCACTGCTTGCCTCGAACTCAGATCGTGCGAATCGCGCTAGGTCTCCCATGTCGTCCTTGCTGGAGTCTGATTGCGTTCCGTCCATGGGTAGTTGGACGTGCAGCTGAATGTAGGATCCAGTGACAAGCGCCTCCTTGATAGAACGAGCATACTGAGATACGCCGGTCTGGCCGTGAGCGAGTCTTGGTCCAGGGATGACTAGATTGGTAACACCACAGAAAGCTGCATAGGCAACCTCAAGGTGAAAGACTTGGCGCGACAAATGGGAGATGATCGGGTCTGGAGAAGACAGATCGATCCATGAGCTGGTAAATGCTACCAATTGACTAATAATCTCATTCGGGCTAAGTGGTGTATCGAAGTTGTCCAAGGCAGGTATCAAGGGGAGCGGTTGGGATTGCGACTCAGCGAGGGCTTGGGTGTAGGAGTTGAGCAGACTCAAGACGCGGTTCTGGAAGTGGTCGTTGGTGATGGTGCTAGTGAGCATATCATACTGGAGGTTGTCAGTAGGGTTCTGGCTAGTTTTGGAGGCACTTACTCCGAGATCTTGGGCATGCTGCACCAACTCGGGCGAGACGTCCAGGGTACGCTTCGACTCATGTTGGCCAATATAAAATACGGGCGCATGCTCGCCCATGCCTTCCGAGTAGTCCATAATAGTATCGGGATTTGTTAGGCCAAGATGAGAAAAAGTGTTAGTGGGAGAAAAGTTGGTGAATGTTGCGGACTACCGCGGGGTCAGCAAAGTCGCGGATGCAATGCTGCGGCGCGCGACCAGGGATGCGGTACGTGATCACAGCGGCAGGAACGTGGAGTAGAAGGAAGGGGCCACCAGGGGTGGAGAAGATATATTTACTACATGGCGGCGTGTGGATATTGCTGTGGTGCCTTGCAGCCTGTCGTCGATTGCGCCAAGCGCGAGCAGTCGCGGTAAGTGGAGCTAAGGGCCCGTCGCATAACTTTTTCTGGGACGGCGAGTGCAGGCGACACCGACACGCGCAAACGCCCCCAGCACCACAATGACAGCCATGACGAAGCGCGAATACGGCGACGACGACAGTGCCCGCGTCAAGCGCGTCAAGACCGAGTCCAACGGCGAGGGCAAGATGGACGCGGCTGCGAATCCCTACCTGGCGCACTGGAACGACGACAAGCCCGTCAAGAGCGAGTACAGCGGCAGCGCCTCCGGCCTCCAGGGCTTCAAGAAGCATGCGACGACGACTGCGCAGGCCAACGCCGCCGAAGACGGCCCCAACAACGCCTTCACCGGCCGCCCGCTCTCGAGCAAGTACATGAGCATCCTCAAGAAGAGGCGAGACCTGCCCGTCCACCAGCAGCGCGACGAGTTCCTCAAGCTGTACCAGGAGTCGCAGATCCTCGTCTTCGTCGGTGAGACGGGTTCCGGAAAGACGACACAGATCCCGCAGTTCGTCCTTTTCGACGACCTGCCCCAGCAGAATGCCAAGATGGTCGCCTGTACCCAGCCGCGTCGTGTCGCTGCCATGTCCGTCGCCCAGCGTGTGGCCGAGGAGATGGACGTCGAGCTGGGCGAGGAGGTCGGATACAGCATCCGTTTCGAGGACAAGACGGGGCCCAATACCATCCTCAAGTACATGACGGACGGAATGTTGCTGCGCGAGGCCATGAACGACCACAACCTCACGCGCTATAGCACCATCATCCTCGACGAGGCTCACGAGAGAACCCTGGCTACAGATATTCTCATGGGTCTGCTGAAGGAGGTTGTCCTGAGGCGGCCGGACCTCAAGCTCATCATCATGAGTGCTACGCTCGATGCTACCAAGTTCCAGAAGTACTTCCACAACGCGCCCCTGCTCGCCGTACCTGGACGAACCCACCCCGTCGAGGTCTTCTATACGCCTGCTCCCGAGCGAGACTACGTCGAAGCCGCCCTGCGCACCGTCCTCCAGATCCACGCCACCGAGCCCGAAGGCGATATTCTGCTGTTCTTGACTGGTGAGGAGGAGATTGAGGATGCGTGCAGGAAGATAAACCTCGAGGCCCAGGACCTTTCTCGCGAAGGTGGTGCAGGACCATTGGTCGTATACCCGCTGTACGGAACCCTACCGCCCGCACAGCAGCAGAAGATCTTCAACCCTGCGCCTCCGCCCGCAACACACGGCGGCCGCCCCGGACGCAAGTGCATCGTTTCCACCAACATTGCTGAGACATCTCTCACCATTGACGGTATCGTCTACGTCGTGGACCCCGGTTTCAGCAAGCAGAAGGTCTACAACCCCCGTATCCGTGTCGAATCCCTCCTTGTTTCGCCCATCTCCAAGGCCTCAGCACAACAGCGAGCTGGTCGTGCCGGACGTACGCGTCCCGGTAAATGCTTCCGCCTATACACCGAGCAAGCCTTTAAGAAGGAGCTCATCGAGCAAACCTACCCCGAGATTCTCAGGTCAAATCTGGCTAGTACCGTTCTCGAGTTGAAGAAGCTTGGAGTCGACGATCTGGTACACTTTGATCTGATGGACCCGCCCGCGCCTGAGACCCTGATGCGTGCGTTGGAGGAGCTGAACTACCTGGCATGTCTTGATGACGAGGGTGAGCTGACCACACTCGGAGGACTTGCCTCGCAATTCCCTCTGGATCCCGCACTGGCAGTCATGCTCATCACATCGCCTGAGTTCTACTGCTCAAACGAGATCCTATCCCTTACTGCGCTCCTCTCTGTACCCCAAATCTTCGTCCGTCCAGCCAACAACCGAAAGCGCGCAGACGAGATGAAGGAGCTGTTCGCCCACCCCAAGGGCGACCAGCTTACCATGCTCAACGTCTACCATGCATTCAAGAGCGAGGAGGCGCAAGCGAACCCAAAGCAGTGGTGCCACGACCATTTCCTCTCTTACCGAGCGCTTCAGCAAGCTGACAACGTCCGTCTTCAACTCAAGCGCATAATGGAGCGCGAGGAACTTGAACTTATGTCAACGCCGTTCGAGAACAAGAAGTACTACGAGAACATCCAGCGTGCACTTGTTGCCGGCTTCTTCATGCAAGTCGCCAAGCGCGATGGCAACGGCAAGAGCTACATCACCGTCAAGGATGAGCAAAACGTTCTTCTGCACCCTAGCACTGTTCTTGCAGAAGACAGTGAATGGGTCATCTACAACGAATTCGTCTTGACAACCAAGAACTACATCCGAACAGTGACCTCCGTCAAGCCAGAGTGGCTTATGGTCAGTGCATCCTCTTCTACTGTAATAATGTAATACTAACTTCTACCAGGACATCTCACCAAACTACTACGACTTATCGCAGTTTAAGAAGGGCGAGATCAAGACGGCTCTGCAGCGAGTGGTTACCAAGCTCCAGCGGAAGGAGGTAGAGAAGGGAGGACGGAGATGATGCGCTTTAAATGCGCCGTGGAAGCATATGTAAAACAGAGGTCCAAGGCAAGCGGAACATGGGCAGCATCATGGGCGCCGTATAGAGGGCGCTCGACTCGATGTCGTGCTACTTGGCGTTAGGCTTGCTTTTGCATCAGTTGCCATGATTGAAGTCGAGAACGCTACCTGAGCGTATTCTAATTGAATCCTATGACATCTTCACTTTCACTGTAGCTGCTGGTATTGACTAACTGCATGCACGCTAGCGTCGACCCCCACATGTCGGCGTCTGCGCGTGCCGACATCTCCAACTTTTTCTCAGCTCAGCATTTCCGCGACAACGCGATCGCAAACCACATTACGCGACGACACAGGCTTGGTCTCTCTCGAAAATGGCCCCGGTACAAAGTGAAGACGCGTCTTTGTTTCACATCGAGCGCATATCGCAATACGTCTGCATCCCACCCTCATGTCTCGCGGATCCCTTCTCAGCAGTGTGCGCAACAGTACTATCACCACTACTCCTCACCTACTTCCCACCTGCGAAGGGCGTAGTACTCGCATACGAAAATGTAGAGCTGCAAAGTACACCACCCGCCGTATCGGATCCGAAATCCAAGAACAAATCACAGTCACAACAACGAAGCGAATCCGATTCCAACGACAATGCGCCTGCTGAGCCGTTGCTACTCAGGCATGTCGATGAATACGCAGCGCCGTTCCTTTGGGTCACAGCCTCTTTCATCGTATGGCGCCCAACTCGAAATGCATACCTCACCGCGCACATCACCGACCAAGCGAAGACGCATCTCACACTCGCACACCTCAACACCTTCCCCGTCAGCATACTCAAGGAATGTCTGCCCTCAGACTGGTCGTGGCATTCGGAAGAAAGTGGTCAAACAAAGCAGGGATACGATGGCAAATTGTCGGACGAGGGAGGCTGGTGGGTGAACGGCGACGGAGAGAAGGTGGAGGGAGAGCTACGAGTGAGGATACGAGACGTTGAGGGCAGGATGGATGGAAAAGGAAAGGGCAAGGGTTTCTTGCGCATTGACGGAGCGCTGGTCTCTGAGGAGGAGATTAAGGCGGCACAACAAAAGGCTGGTAAAGGGAAGAGGAAAGCTACCACGAGCGCGATGAAGGCACAACCACAGAAGCAGGCGGACGGAGAAGTCATGGAGATCGATTCGGACTAGGTTGTGGGTGATGGGACACTACACTGGTCTATTTGGCCGCATTCTTGCGAGATGCGCAGCATATCATTCGCATCAAAACGGCGTTATGGCGTTTAAAACAAAGCAAGATGCAAATTCCAGCATCTACGATACCACACACAAATATAACAACCTTCATCAAACGCTCCACTTCCCGTCCCTCGTGAGCACAGACCAATCAGACAACGCACACCTCCGTCTCCCGCCGCAGCAAACCGCGGCAAGCATCCCCCATCAAACCCATTCCATCCCATCCCACCACCTTCCCACCCTCGCCTCCCCAACCCCCCAATCCAACCACCCACACTCTTTCACCCCACCCCACCCACCATATTATGTCTTCATCCAAGAAATCCTCCTCCTCATCCTCCCGCAAATCACGCAGCCACGACCCCATCTACGAGAGCGGTTACAGCAGCAGCAGCAGCAGATCCTACGGCACGACGTATAGCAGCATGTCGCCTTTCTGGACGATTGGCACGCTGCTGGGGGCGAGCAGTGTGGCGCTGGGTGCGTTTGGGGCGCATGGGTTGAAGACGCGGATTAGGGATCCGGGGGCGTTGGCGAATTGGGGGACTGCGGCGAATTATCAGGTATGTGTGTTGTTCTTTGAGAGAGAGAGAGAGAGAGAGAGAGAGAGAGAGAGTGGTTTGATGTATGGGATGGGCATGTGTTGCGGAAGTCGAGAGTGGTTTGTGGATCTGCGTCACCGCAAGGTGCATCTAGGCGCAAGATTTGCCCCTCCTCGCATTGGACACCGCATCTCCTGCCATCATTGTCGATTATGGATCTATGCTAACAATGGACATGACAGCTCGTCCACTCCGTCGTCCTGACCATGACATCCGTTGTCGCGCCGCAAAACAAAATCGCCATGGCCCTATTCACCGCTGGCATGACTATGTTCTCTGGAAGCATATACCTGCTTGTGTTGGATGCGAAGAAGTACAAGCAACTGGGGCCTGTCACGCCAATTGGTGGCGCTTGCCTTATTGCTGGCTGGCTGGCGCTGGCCGCGAGGGGAAAGATGGTCAGACTGCCTAGAAGCGCGTGATGGATGAAGACAAAGGATTGATGGACTGGGGAATGGACAGTTGTACATACAGTCGAACAAAGCCTGCAGGTCTGGCATATCATGGGATGCATGAGATACTTGGTTATGAGCATGATAAATGACAACAAATTGCTTCTGGCAAACTCCACACCGACGCAAATCCTTCACCGCGAAACAGCTCTTCACAAAACACATCGTGAGATGAAAATAGCTACACCGGTCCTTACGCGCCACCGCACCGCGCCCACTCGCGGATGACTAGTTTCCGATCAAGATCTTTAGCTTCCATGACTCGAGACGAGCCGCACCCCACATCCGCAAGCCTAGAACATCATCGTCAACGTCCATCCCAACCACCTATGTGCTGGCGTCCCGCTCTGCTTTTCTTTGTCACATGTTTCGTATCCAAAACTGTAGTCTGGCACCGAATAATCGTTATGGCCCCCAAAAAGTTCCCAATATGACACGCTCCGGCACTTTCCCCCACTTAGACATGTAGCGTGTGCCGCAGGAAGCGGCTGCATGGCATAGCGGCTTTCTACCTTGTAAGAGAAGAGAACCCTGGAACTAGGGTAAAAGCAATATCGTTCCATGCGAAAGTATCGTTCTCTTCCTCACATTGTTGTACACCATGGATGCAACGAGCATTGAGACACCATCTACAACATGGCTGCCATCAGCGCGTCATATACTCGGTCTCGCAGGCCTCTGGCTAGTGTTCAAAGTGCTAGAAGCTATCTACAATATCTCGCCCCTCCACCCGCTGAGCTCGATCCCTGGGCCAAGACTGGCGGCTGCGACGTACTTGCCTGAGTTTTACCACGATGTGGTCAAGTTTGGATGTTATACGAAGGAGATCAGTAAAATGCATAGAGTTTATGGTGAGCTCATCACTAGCTATCCCAGACCAACTCGCAAGCTAATCAATGACATCTCTACCAGGCCCCATCGTGCGAATCAACCCCAACGAAGTCCACTGCGACGACATCCGCTTCGCAGACGAAATATATGCAACCGGTAGCCGAAAACGCGATAAGCCAAAGCACCAAGTCAACGGCTCTTCGTAAGTCACTAATTCTACAACACACCAGCCATATAGTCTCACTAACCTCTCCCAGTATCTCACTATCCGGCTTCGGCACCATCAACCACGACCTCCACCGCCTCCGGCGCGTCCCCCTAGCAAAATTCTTCTCCAGAGCCATGATCACACGGCTCGAACCCGAAATCCACAGCCTAGTCCAACAGCTCTGCGACAAACTACTACGGCAATCCGGCGGCAACAACGAACCCTTCGACATCGCCATGGCATACAGCTGCTTCACCTCCGACGCCATCTCCAGCTACAGTTTCGGCGAAAGCTTTGGGTTTCTCGATCAAGAAGGGTGGTACCCGAATTTCCGAGAGCCAACAGCCGCAGTCCTTAGACCCGTTTTCGTGTTTCGGTTTTTTCCTTGGACGAGTAAGAGTGCGGCGCTCGCGACGACTTTTATTGATTATTTGCCTAAGGATATTGCGTTGATGGTAAATACTTTGCAGGTTGATTTGCCTAATAGAGTGCTCAAGGCTAAGGCGGATCTGGACGCAGGCATAACGTACGACCGACCGACGATCTTTGCTTCGCTCCTACAGTCCGATCTCGGTGCCGGGGATAAGGGCGTGGTGCGCCTAGTCCACGAGGCACAAGCTGTATTGGGTGCCGGCACAGAGACCACGAGCTGGGCCTTGGCCGTGATGACATACCATCTCTTGACCAACCCCCAAATCCTCGCTAAACTGACCCAAGAACTGCAAACCGTTGTAGAAGACCCGCTAAACCTCCCTGGGTGGACTGTTCTGGAATCACTACCTTACCTCGGCGCTGTCATCCAAGAAGGACTGAGACTATCTTATGGTGTTTCTAGTCGTACAGCCCGTATTCCCACGGAGGAAACACTGCTGTACCGTGGCGAGTGGAATAAGAAGCCTGTTGAATACGTCCTTCCCAAGGGGTATGCGATCGGCATGTCGTCGTACGTTACACATCACGATGAACGCGCTTTTCCTGACTCGTATGCTTTTGCGCCGGAGCGGTGGTTGGATGCGGATAATCAGAGGAGGAAAGAGCCGGAGCGCAGTATACTTTCTTGGTCGAAGGGGAGTCGCTCTTGTTTGGGGAAGAAGTAAGTGGATTGTGTTTATCCTGAGTTGGATATGGAGGACTAACATGAATCTTGTAGTTTGGCTTTGTGTGAGCTCAATCTGTGTCTCGCTGCGACGGTGCTGCGTGTGATACCGAAGATGCGTTTGTTTGATACGACGGAAGAGGATGTGGCGTATGATCATGATATGTTTGTGCCGATGACGAAGGATCATAAAGGTGTAAGGGTTACAATCGAGTAGTGTAATAAGAAGGCACTCTATAATCTAAATGAGTTCAAACACTTGACGCACGCGGCAAGAATTCCTGTTCTTTGTCCATTATCAGATTCCGGATATCGCTTTTGATTTGTGGTATCTCATAAAGAAAATAATCTTTTGCGCCATATATGCGTTCTCCTCTTCTTTTCTCCACACAAAACACGCGCTCTGGCTCTCTCCGATGCCTTCTACAAATACTCCTTCTTTCGTCCCGTCCTCGTGTATTGGTTGAGATGCCACTCCACATCCCCCTCCTTATTATCCAACGTCCCCGCCCTAATCTCAAACAACCTCATGCTCATCCGGGGTCCCACCTCGGCCAGCTCCACAGACTGGTACCCTGTCTTGACAAAAACATGGTGCCGGACTTCAATCGTATCCTCGATGTTCTTAAACGTGACGACGCGGTTGCCAACTTTGGCTGTGGCTTCGCGGGGCGGGAAAAGGTGTTTCAGGATCTGAACGCAGCGTTCTCCGAGTTTGGTAGAGAAGCCTTCGAAGATTAGGTGGGGGTAGGATTCGGAGACTGTGCCACGGGAGGCGTTGGGGATGTCGGCGCGGAGGACTACGTTGCTGGGGTTATGTTAGTAGGTGTTGTTTGGAGGGGTGGGATATGGCTTACTGTAATGAGAAGCTGGCGGTGGGGCCGTGGGGGAAATGCGATACTGTCAAGGCAGTGGGTGTTCCTCTGTGCTCGTGAAGAAGGACGATGTCGCTGAGACCACCTGATTTGGCGCTTTCGACGAGGTTTGGTAGGACCATGTTTCCGCGGTTCAATCGTATCGACGTAGGTAGCAGTAATCTGATTTCCTTGGCGAACGTCCCCAATCTACTTGATGGATCTATCCAAGCGTTAGCATGTAGCTCTGCCTTCCAATCTTGCCCAGGCTTTTGTACCTCTCGAAGTTGTGACCAATATCCTGGGATCCACCACACCCGACAGCTGCGCATATTCGTCGTCCAGCCCTAGCTCCTCCTCCGCGGTTCTATCCGCTCTGCTCTCATCGTACTTGAAATCCTGTCGTAGGTTCTGGTCGTTGGCGACATCTTTTGACAGTGGCTTGCCGCTGGCGAGGGAAGCTTTCAGCGCTGCTCTTTTGGAGGCGAGTTCGGCGTCGCGGAGGGTGAGCGCGCGGCGGTAGAGGTAGTCGCGACGTTCTCGGGCTTGTTTGCGGATCATGTTGGCGGTGTGTGGTGTGGATTGGGAGGGTTACTTGAGGCGCATGTAGAAGTTGGAAAGTTCGCGACCGGGCGACGAAAAGAAAAGTGGGTCGCGCGGATTATCGATAAGATCACGCCAATGTGAATGCCCCGGACTCCCGATTTCACTCAGAGACATCAGTTCTCATCATGCCGTAATTCGTTCTCAGAACGTACATTTGGTACCTTCAACATATGATTCAACTATGTACAAGAATGTAACAATCCACGCGTCCCTTCTCCGGCCCGATCCTATAATCCTTTCCCCCGCCATGAAGCTCTTTCAGTACCATATATGTCCTGAACGAAGGATCACTTGCAGACCCAATCTCCGAAACATAAATCCACTTGAGATTTTACGCAATCATCTACCACGAAGTCCAGGGTTGATCCGCTGAGACCACGTCCACTACTACAGGTATGGTCAGCAAGCTGCGACATCAAGCCCATTCAAAGACCACACGTACCCTCGGAAAATTCACATACCATCAATCATCGCTCTTCTCTCACTTAGGCCCTGAAGCTCCGCCCTCTCCGCCTAGTCAGAGACTCAATCTCAGACTCCACATCCCAGCACTCGTAAAACGCAGCCCAGTCACCCACAAAGTCTCCGTCTACGGGGCCATAGTATTTGCCGATGGGATACCCAACGCCGCGGGTCGATTCGCTGTAGAAATTGCACGTGGTGCCTGAGTCTACGTGGTAGCTGACAGGTTGGATGTAGTAGCCGTCTGCTCTGTCCTGAGTGATGACGCGGACGTTGTTTTGGCCGGTGGTGTCGAGCATGTAGGTTTTGCCGTTGCAGTCGGTAACGTGGGCGACGGGGCTGAGGGGGGGTTAGTGAGTGAGGTTGAGGTCGAGCTGAGCTGAGATTTGGTACTTACGGAAGGGCCTCAGCAGCGATAGCGATGGAAGAGGTGAGCACTGAGGCGAAGATGAATAGGGTGGAGAACATCGTGGGGAACTGCATGGTGGACGAGCGATTCTTGGGTCTTCACTGCAGAAGAAGTACGGTGACTGTAAAGACGTTTATAACCAGATGCGTCAGGAAGACGATTCCCGTTGTACTACTACTCCACCGTTGCACAAAGTTCTCGACCGTGATAGCGCCTTCCCAACACAAGCCCGTTACCGTGGAACGCGAGATAAAGCAAACAACAAAAAAACAAAGAAAGCATCTTAGCGTGCTCTGGAAGCTACAACGCGTCCTCCATGTAGCTAGTTCGCTGCATGGACTGTATGTATTCGGCAAGCTTGGAAAGTTCCCAACGCTACACACCCCAACATATGTAGCATGCGCGCGCTAGTATTCAGCCCTTCAGCCTTGAGTGAGGGGTCCAGGCGAGCAGCTGTAGTAGTTGGGCGCCTTCTTCCAACGCCGCTCTTCCTTGGTTAGAAGCCCGCTGCAGCGCGAGAACTGGTCGATGTGTTCGTCTCCGCCGTTGTTGCATGTGCCCGAGTCGACGGCGCTGGGATGAATCAGTATACACGTGTATGTTGTTTTGATTTCGCGCCACCTACTAGTACAAGTAACAGTCGCAGTTGAAGGCCTTGAATCCGGTGATCTCCTTGTAGTCTTTGACGGGAATACAGCCACCCCATTCAAGACGCTGGTGTACTTTGTTTCCAATCCAGGTCTCGGCGCAGATATCTCCTTGGGTGTGACATTCGTCACTTGCGGCGAAGACGCTAGGGCTCGGTGGGGAGGATCGAGGGGCGGCAAGAGCGAGTGCAAGGAAGCCGAATAGGCTGAGGAAGGAGTAAAAGTGATACATGTTGTCGGGGTTGTCCGGAGTGAGTTGTAAGAAGGTGACGAGTTCTGTCGGGAGGTTTTGAATTCTGTCAGCAGGAGCAAGAGTCGATCCGCGACTTCTTATATCAACATCCGGGAATGCGCCAAGCCAGTGCGTGAATCACATGAGGAATGCGCGAACGCACCCGGTGAAGGCCCGGGCCGCGCCTCCCTCGCCGTGGGTCCAAATTGTGCGGGGAACTACAGATTCGCTCTTGTGAAGGGTTGATCAACGCTCGCGTACATGCAGGTATATTGCCAGCTCATCAATCGACGCACCCGTGTGGCGTATCTGGGGGCCGATACACCTCTTCGAACGTCTGCTCCAACCACTTCAAACCCCACTCGTATCGGGGTCTTTGAGAATACCGTGCCGCAACGATGGATCTTTACCGGCGATTGAGTGGAGCGTGAATGGGTTCGCAGTCTGTCCTCTTGTTGCGCGTGCGGATAATAACACGATGAAGGTGCCAGGCTGCCGCATTACGAGTCGATTCTAAGTGATCCAGGCTTATGTATCAGTCACGCGCGTGCGTGTAGTCCGAGGCCATGAAGAAAGTGACGTTTTATTTTGCTGAGTGAAACATGATTTGGCCTACCAACGCCGTAAACATACATCATCGACAAGAAGCCACCACTACTGCTAGCACTGCCATGCTGATACGACACCCAGAGATGTGACGAGGGCTATTGACTCTGGCCATGTCCGAGTCCGCTATGATGCAATCAACCCAAGGTCGCGCACTTGTACCATTTGGGATTGGGATCCTCGAAGCAAGGTTCTTCGCCAGGCTCTCCAGTCGGTCCCTCATACATCGGTGGATCGGTAGCTCCTTTGCAGTCGTCCTCGCTCCTACGCGGTAGTTGTCAGCTACTGTTATGGTTCTGCAAATACACGAGTGCAAACAGCATGTAGCCGCCAGGCATGGTCATGGTCCTGCCAATATGCAAGGTCGAACAGTATGTGTCCCTCAGGGTACCTACAGGTGAAATGAACATTCACAGCCCCCAAACAAGCTATAGGCGTAGGCGTCTTGAAATCCCGGGATCGTCTCATTGTAGTAGATTGCTGTACACTCAGCCTGAGCTGGAGGGTATGCTGAGATACCGGCATATGCGCTACTGTTTCGAATGGTAAGAACGTAACCGCAGTTGTATGGCTCGCCGTAGAGTTCTGGAGTAGTTGATACAGGAGCTGAAAGTGTGGTGGGCAAGCTGTAGAGCAAGCTTGTGAGGAAGGTGGCAAGATACATCTTGGATTTTGGTGAGTTTCGCTCGGATGGAGACAGGATATAGATATGTTGCTGTTTTGAAGCCGGGTCGGTATGTAGAGTGAAGGAGTTTTGAACAAGTTATTCAAGTGGCTTCGAGATATCTTTGTTGAATAGGCTTTATGTGCTTGCTTGCTGTGTGCCTTAGCAGAGAGGATGTGAAGCAGGTCTAAATACCACATGTGAATCGCGATGAGCTCATGTCACCATCTTCGCCAGTAGTAACCGAGCTGTCAAAATGCAAGATCCCGTCATCAGCATGGCTTTGGTACTCCCTCCCTTGCCTATCATGGACGTTGAGCGTCGCACACATATACCGATTCCATGTCACCTTCGCCTTCTTGACGAATGCGCCCATGATGGTGCCCTATCAAGCACGATAAATACGATCAGGAGCCATATGCGCAATATGTCGGTCAAGCCGAGTTGACGTGTTCGGAAGTAGGAGCAGCCTGACCGCCGAACCGCGCCTCTACGGTGCGACGCTGGAATGTATTCGAGACAGTAGTAGCAGTAGTATGGCGCAATATCTGTGTCGATAACATAGCTTCGGTGTGCTTGGCGCGGTTTGCTACTTCATCTTTGCAGGATCGCGATCACCGATTGGATGTCGGCAGCGGTGAGTATAGCTAGAGGTGTTACTGCAACGGTATGACGAAAGAAAACGACGAGAAGTAGCGCTTGATGCAGTCGTACCAATCCTCTATACGGATGTATTACGAACAAGTTTAGCAGCATCAGTACGGATACGGCTGGAAACGAAAAGCGGTATGTTACAGTGTATGCCGTGTTCTAAATATCCAGGACATGGCGTCGAGAAGAGTGGACATGTGCCATCGCGCATGAACCATGAGCTCGTAGCCAGCAGGTAACATCCGGAAATAGTCCTGTATTTTAACAAATTCGTGGTAACTAACGCCGATCGATAACAAGAATGCAAGATAGTGCATACCTGTACGGCGGTACAGGCCACGAATGGCGAGCTTGCTTGTATCATGCTTCGGACGAAAACTTGATGCCGAGGAGATCGATTTGACGTGACGCGCGGATTTGACGGCATAGTAGAGGTGATCAGGAGACGTGGAAGAAAGACGCATCAATGTTGGAAGACGACAAAGAGGGGCGGCCTTAGCGTCCACGTGACAGCGCGAGATCTTGACGCGCCTGCATGTCGACAAAGAACCAACATTCCGAGACCACCTCCAAACCAATACCGATCATATCCCAAAATGAGCCGAGCAAGCATTGAGCAAGCCCTCACGGGCTTAGTACCCACATTGAGCGGCCCTCTGCCGCCGGAGTTGATAGAATTGGCGCTTTCTCTCCTCACGCGTTCGCGAAGTGTCGCGACATCTATGAAGCCAGATGAGGAGATCGCACGACCATACGCGTGTGCGCAATTAGCATGCGAGAGGTACAGAGAGCCCTTGACATAGTGAGACACGACATGCTGACATTCCAAGACTCAAGAAGCGTCTCAACCTCCCTACCATCGCATCACGACCGCCCTGTCCCCCGCGGATATACAAGAAACTATACAACTACCTCAGCAGCGCACTCCCCGACAGCACAACGCCTCGCGAGCCAACAACACCGAGCAAGCCAAAAGCCTCAGCCCCCGCATCAGCACGCAACACACCGAAGACACCTTTAAGCGCGAGGAAAACACCGAGAACCGCAAGGAGGCTTGACGACAACAATGGCGAAGCACCAGAATGGGTGATGCCTACGATACGCTCCCTGGCTAAAACGTTCGAATACACAAGTCTGATACCGCACGTATACACAGGCGTGGAATCCATCTACCCCCTCTTATCTCGCATGTCCGCCGCCGCTGCCGAAACACCCAGCAAGCGACCGAAACGAACCGCAGCCATCACTTCCTCATCGGGAGAAGTCAGCGACACGCGCGTACTAAGCCTGATTGTTGTAGTCTTCCTGCTCGTCTACTCGCGCATGAAAGACATCGACGTCTCCATACAACAATACAACGAGTGGCTAGCCAAAGCAGTGAAGGCCGTTCTGGTCCTCCCCGCTACAAAGGATGTCGAGGATGGCGAGCTACAAGCCAAGATCGAAGAGACGATGAAGATGGCGAAGGAAGAGGGGTGGCTGCAAATGCAGTGGTTCGATAGCGTGAAGCCGCAGGGCGATGGGGAGGAGATGGAAGGTGTAGAGATGGGCGACGCTGCTGCCGCGGCCAAGGCGAAGGGTATGGGGCTGAGATCTGGTGGGAGTGATTATATTGGGTTGGGGACGATGATGCAGGACGCTACTGACCATTTGGGGGAGCGCCAGCAGGAGGATTATATGAGGTGGAAGGAGGATATACTAGCGAGGGTGCGGGAAGTCGAGGGAGCTGCCTAGTGGCGGAATTCATGTATGCTACAACACGTTGCTAAATGTTGATAAGTGTATATTTGCCAAGGCAATGTACACTTCAACCTCAAAAATATGTTGTACAATACGACACGAATTGGCGACTATCCAGGATGACAGTGTCATACAGCAAGAGATTGCAACAAGTGCTATTAGAGTCTAAGGGTATCCGCACTATGTTCCACGTACATGTCTATTGACACAAAGCCGACCATCCCCCTCTAGCTATGCTCACCCTTCCACACGCAACACCCAGCTCTAGGCCATCATCGTATGCACGCGAACCAAATCTGTCCCGTTATTCCTGACACTGATGATGTTGGAGTAGATTCGCTCAGTCTGCCTCTTAGCAACAGCGTCCTCTTCACCGGGCTTCGTCACAACGTCCGGTGGTACATCTTCCATGATGAAGAACATGTGCAGAGTATCGTTGGGACGTTTACTCTTATACGGTTTTATCGTATCGGTCACAACTACCACATTGGTGATGCGTTTAATCCCGAGTTCGGCCTTGTGTGTTGCAAGGATATATGCAGCAGTCGCGCCGATAGGGGAGCCTGGAGGTAGTCAGTATGGTTTTAATTTACAGCCGCGACCTGAAATCTAGGCCGGGAGGACGTTAAGAATATCTTGGACGTCAAAGACACTCTTCGAGGGGCAATGTATGCTGCAAAAAGTAATCAACTTACCAACTAGGGCCCGGAATTCATCAGTCCCAAGAGAGAAAACGTCACCCGGCCATACCGATAACTGTACTTTACCCACGTTCTTTAACGCCCGAGCAACCAGAAGAGTAGTATCCGTGTTGATGACTTGTTGAGCGCCGTAGACGCGGAAGTTCTTGACATCAGGGTTATCACGAACCCAATATCCCCAGAAGACGTCAGACGCGGACTGGAGTTCAGGAAGCTCTCCAGGGTTTGCTTGTCGACCCCATGCTCCCGGCATCGTAACAGCATGGCGTGGACTCTCGATGTTCTGAGCCATCATGCCTCCGCCGTGGTTGACAGCGAATTTATAGTATGCGCCTGTTGCCTGGACCGTATTAGCTACGTGCTTTGACAATTGAAGGAATGCCTGTTTCATAATAGTCCGTGACGACTTTGCGTGCTGTCAGTTTGGAAGTGACATACCGTATACTCCCTGCCCCCAACGTAATACTTCTGGTCTTTGACATCCTTCATTTCGCCATCTTCATCCTCCGAGTCTTGAGACCTTTCGTCGTAGTGTTGAAGATAGTAACAGTCATTGGCCCCCTCTTGAGGTTGGCCAGATTCTTCATACATGGATCGTGGGTCTAGATTGAGGCCTTCAAATGCCTCTTTGAGCCCCAGCTTTGTGAACTCGCACTCCCAACCCTTGTCCATGTCTCCTTCGCGCCAGCCCCATAACTTGAGCTCAGCTCTGAGATCGCCGGTCCACCTGCTCGCTGCAGAAGGCGGTTGTCTAGTATCTTGGGAGAGCCATCCAGCGCCTCTATCAGTAGCCTCCATGAGACACATCAAGCGATTTCCCTTCTCCAGGTACTTGTCCCATAGAGCTTTGGTAGCATACGCGCCTTTATTGAAGTCATCGGGGCCTCGAGCGTCAAGGGTAGGACTAAACTGGAGAGCATCGAAGTCAAGAGGACTGAATCGGGGAGGAACCTTTGAGGAGTCGACACCGAAGACTTTGGTAACAACAGGACTATCAACATGTCTACCGATCGCCGAGGCAGCGAGTGCGATAGTGCTGGCTAGAGTGATTCGCAGCCTCATAACTAGGAATTACAAGGTGAGTGGTGGGGGGTTATCAAAGACTGGGCAGTGAGGGGTAGACAAGGTAAGAGTGTGTGTCGCTAGGTATACGCTAACCGCACCCATCGGTCAAGTGAGTGAATGGATCATGAGCAGGTGAGAGAACAGATCGCTTTGCTGACGCAAGACTGTGAAACCAGGTTAATGGTCAGATATGACATGATTGAAGCGTTGCGGTCATCATGTCCTAAAACAGATACATCACAATAGAATCCCCCGGAACTACACCCACGAACCTAATGTCGCTGCTACGCCTCACTCCTTATACAACTCCGCCGTCCTCACCCTCCCCTCCTCCAACACCGCTTTGACCATCTCCCCGTCCCTCGGAACAAGCTTAACGCCAAAGTCCCTCGGTATAGCCACCAGCGCACTCTTAATAGCATTGTAATCCACGTAATCCGTATTCGGCGGATTCGTCACACTAGCCTCGATCCTATACAGACTGAGCAAACGAAACAGCGCAGCGTAGATGAGTTTGCTTGCTATCAAAGCACCGGGACAGGATCGGGAGCCAGCGCCGAAGGAGAGGTGAGGGGGGTTCGCGTGGGGAGTCGGTGTGTGGAGGGAAGATGGGGTGGTGGGAGGTGTGAGCCAGCGTTCGGGGTTGAAGGTTGCGGCGGTGGGACCGAAGTAGTCTGTGTCTGTGGGATGTCAGTCTTCTGTGAAAGGAGTATGGGTTTAGTGCAGTGGAACAGAGGCTTACCGTGATTTCCAGCTTGAGCGTTGATCAATACCATCGTCCCTTTTGGTATGACCGCATCGCCCCACCTGACCTCGCTCATCGTCTTACGCGGTAGGCTCATGTTACTGACTGTGTAGTATCGTCCAGCTTCCTTCACAATCGCGTTCAGATAGGGCACAGTTTCCTTCTCAAAGTCCGTTGCCCAGGCTTCCTTCAACGCTGCGTCGTCCGGATACATTTTGCGTATCTCCGCATAAGCGCGTTCTTGGAAGATATGGCCTTCGGGTGTAGACAAAGAACCGATGCAGGAGACTAGCGTACCGGGTATGGTTTCGAAGCCGCCGGAGACGAGGGATAGACAGATCGAACTCACTTCGACACCTGTGAGGCGGGTTTCTTCGTCTTTGAGGATGGCGGCGCTGATGCACGGCTTCTCCGTCCCGTTCTTGATCATCTCGCGGACCTTGTCTAGAAGCTCGTTGAGGTACTTGTCTCGTCGCTCGCGTAGTTCTTTCGAGCGCCGGTTCTTTTCGTTGTTGGGCAGGTATCGCAGAATGGGGACGTAGTCTTGATAGTTCTCCGAAGCGGAGCGGAGGAGCGAAATAGCTGACCCGACTTCGAGGATCTCGCGGAGAAGATCGTCGTAGACTGCGTCCATGCGAATGCCGTAGCATAACGTGAGCGTTGTGTTCAGGGCGTAGCGCTGGATGTACGGTCGGATGCTGACTTCAACTTCCCCACTTTTGCTGTCGCGGCAGAGATCGCGGGCAATGCAATATGATTCCAGGTCGAACATGTCGTAGTAATTCTTCATCATGCCTTTACTCAAGGTAGTCGATGCGGCCTTGCGCTTGTTACGACAGCTCTCGTCCCATGGTGAGCTTCCGATAGTGAATCCTTGTGTCGATGAGATCAAGCCATGGAAGGTATACAGTTTCGGCCGATCGATAAGTCCCTGTGAGTTTGATACCAGAATCTTCTTGCAATCTTCGAAGGAGTTGACGATCACAGCACGCGTGTTGCCAAGTCGAATCTGGAAGACCGAGTCGCCATACTGCCGCCACCACTTCTCGCACACTGTCGCATGGTCGTCGCCGAGCTGGGTGAGGTGACCTGTAATTGGAAGAGCACCTGGTATCTCCGGTATACCGCGTATGTATGGGATGTCGGTGCGACTCAGTACCTAAGTGACTGTCAACATTGCTGATCATAGCTGGGTTCAGATGAAACAAATACCTTGTACGTTACAAAAACAATAGCTGCAACAATTGATACCACTACTAGATGACCAGAAGGCATATACCTAGCATGGGGTACGATATCCGGCAGATGCTCCATATTAGAACTCGGTACCACTAATCCTTGAAAGCAACAGCAAGGGAAGAAATTGTTAGCAAAGCAACGAAACGGTTACTTATAGATGCCATCATCCAGGTGTGCGAGGGCACTACCGGCATCCAATGCTTTCATGCATGATCGCGAGGGGTGCATTCGGAACCGTTCCGAAGATAACGGGCTGCTTATCAGTACAACTCCCACCTTTGAGTTCATTGGAGACCGCGCAACGCGCCGAAATCGCCTCTTAGCCAATGCAGGAGAAGCCATTATGAGCTCGATATCTCTTTCGCGTACACTTGCCGGATAAAGCTGGTGGATCGATGCAATCCTAGGAGACGCTAACTGGCACCCTCGACTAAGAATGTGCCCAGGGATTCTACGCGATAAGTTTCGACTCAGCCAGAACAAGCAGAGACGTGTGCCTTCAGAATATCATCGATAGTATCACTCATAAGAAATGAGCTGCTTCATACGCGTGTGTGTCGTGGTAGTCAATGACGCGAGTCGAGGACGCCAAAGTCGCGTTGGCCGCTGACTAAGCCAGCTCAGGCATCCTGCCGTTGCGTCATGCAACACGCTCCTACGCGATTCCTCCAACTCCGCGTAACCGTCCTTCTGCCTGAACTCGATTACGCAGCCATGTCTGCCTTACACTCGCAGCACCCCTCTCATCAATGCTATAAAGACGCGCAATCTCGCTTTGATCACCTACTAACACCGCATTAACCCACTCACCACAGCAATAGTTCCGTTCCAAACATCCCATCCACCACCACCCAAAATGCCCATCACCGAACTCGCCCTCCTCCACCTCACCCCCGGCACCACGCTCGAATCACCCACCCTCCGCGCCAACCTCTCCCACGCGAAAACCGTCTTACAGAACTACACAAACCGGCCCTTCTACTACATGCAGCAAATCTCCGATCCGAGCTGCATCTACGTTGTGGGAGAATGGGACTCGCTAGACCAGCACCTGAACGACTTCATCCCCAGCGCGGATAACCAAGCACTGTTGGAAAGCTTGAAAGACTACATCACTGTGGATTCCAACCTCGAACATCTCGATGTGCCGAATGCGGAGCTGCCGTTGCCGAGAGGGGAGGAGGAGTTGGAGAGAGCGAGGAGGGGGGAACAGGTGTGGAGTATCACTCATTACACTATCAAGGCTGGGAAAAGAGAAGCTTTCGAAGTTCAATTCAGGGAGATGAAGGAGAAGTTGGATAGGACCTATTTTAGTGGGGAAGGCGGGATTGGAGGTGGGTGGTGTGTTGGGAAGAAGGAGGGAGAGGATGATGTGTTTGTGACGCTTTTTGCTTGGAGGACTGTTGCGGAATATGAACTGTTTGGGAAAGGGAAGGAGAGGGAGGCTTCTGCGTATACGGGGGAGTGTGTTGTGCGGAATGATGTTAAGCATGTCAGGCTTTTGGATATTTGAGACGGTCTGTATCCTGGAGTCACCCGTTCCTACACTGGCACTCGGGATGGCAACTCCAGACCATTACATCACAAAGGTTCGTGGTAGAGCGTTACATTACGTTCATTAATCTCGATACATCTTCGCCGCATTCGTCTACACATAGATATAGCAGAACGGCCCACCCAGCGTACTCATCGCATCCTTAATCGTAATATTCTCAAACGCATCCTGAAGCATGGGACCCAGCGTCAACGTATCATTCAATGTACCCTTCCGACTCGGCGGGTCGTTCTGGAACGTGATAGTACCATCAACCGCATTTCTCCTGTTCTCGAGATCCTGATTTTGCCAAATCCACCACGTGCGATCGATCTGTGCGTGATGGAAGTAGAAGGCCTAACGATGGAGTCAGTGAACATCCCGGATGAATCAGCAATGTAAGGGAAGACTTACAGGGTCAGCCGGCGAGTTGAAAAAGTCAGAACCAGCATCTCCTCCCACGGTGTAATGACCAGCGCTGTGAACGCCAAGGTATCCATTTGGGAAATCACCCTGCATGCGGTTCTGGAAAGTAAGAATATCGTCGCTGTTCTCGAGAAGCTCAGTGATGACTTCATCCCTCGACAAATACGCAGAATTCTTATTAACATCTCTGTTTATGCATCTGGGATTATATCCCAGCCCATCCGCCTGCGGATTCGGTTTGATACCCGTTACTTTCGTGGCGATGGGTCCGAGAGTCACAGTCCAGTTCGCCAGGGGTCCAGAAACGCAGCCACCGCCGCTTCCGGGCTCGAGCTTGATGGGACAGTCTGGTGAGCCGGTTGGTACGCCGACGCAGGTGTAGTTTCGGCCGGGGACGTAGTCTCCGCCGTTGGATATGCTGGTGTCGCTGCCGTCGAAGAGGGGGGATGAGGCGGGGTCTTCGTACCACCATGCCCAGTTGTAGTAGGGGAGGTAGCCTTTGTAGCCACATTCGTTGCGGAGTAGTTGCTCGTAGGCCCAGATGTAGTAGCGGTGCCAGGATAGGAAGTTGGCCTGGAGAAGTTAGCTTATCCTGTTGCCTCGAACGCTGGTGTAGGTTTTTGCTAGTCGACCAGCCGTTCGCATTGACGAGATGCTGCTAGTCTCGGACGTACAGTTGCATGTATAGAGTATGTCTGCTTAACGTGTGTCACGACAAAGTCGTCGAAGCGACTCCTTGCTCCGGGAGCAACAGAAGCTGGTGTAAGACCAGGCTTGGAGTGTAGACACTTGATAGCGTCAATGTAGTTCCGCCTCTCAGGCTTCGTGAGTGTTGACCTAAGATTATGTCAGACTTGCAAGAATATCTTCCGGATGCTAGCCACTCACCACTCTTTTCGTACTGATGCCGTTTCCGGAGTACATGTACCTGGGTCTGGAGAGCCGTTCTCCGCTACATAACGTTGAAGGTTTTCCAATCCCAGAACGGCGAGCTTGTCGTGTTCAGTAACTTTGACGGCGGTGACGCTGCTGGCAAGCGCCAGTGCTGGTATACCGAACAATCTCATCTTGAAATGATGAAGACGTTTTACGCCTGTAGATACCTTGACGCGAGGTATGAAATAAAGTGTTGGTGGAACAGCGAACGTGAGACTTAGTCCTGACGAAACAACACTACACAAACCCTACCTTATATATCCCCTTCGCTTATAATATCTTCATCTTCGCGCTGATCCATTTTTCTGCATCCTTCTGCATGGAACTCTGCCATATGCAGCTGTGCCGCAATGTAGTTTCGAGAGTGGAGTCGCGTAGGGTCCATAGCACTGCTGCTCAAATGTGAATGGACGCAGCCTCGGAAGTTTGGACGAGAGGAGATGGGAGATCACTTCCCTTGCTCGCTCAACAATACTCTTTTGCAGGTGGATGCCGAAGGATCCTGGCGGGTATTTAGCCAATCTGCCGGGTTCATGGTTGGCATTGCCGACGGCACGGTGCCTGATTTATCTTGGGTTTGAAGCAGCAAGAAACTAGTGTGTTTAGAGATGAAGAGAAGTTATGTATGGCTTCCATTTGATGTCGCCAAACAGTGTTGAAAAGGACCGAGAGCGTATGGTGAGATGGTGGGATGCGGAAAGAAAGGCCTAGTAGTGGGTCCACGAACACGGGCGCGGGCCGGTCGCCAACGTGGCACAGGCATCGAGCCGCATCCGCGGAAGGCGTTTAATATCTACGTTAGATCGATTGCAGAGTAGAACTCAGTCTAGCTCACATGTACACCAAATCCCAAACATCTGATAGTTTCTCCGTCTGTGCCGTGTTGCTGCTAATTTCGTACATACCCAGGTCTCTAGTCCGCACCACCAACCCCCATAACGCCCCTCCCAAACCACTCACTAATAACCGCAAACCCATCCCTCCCCCTCTTGAGCGCATCCTGAAAGAGATCATGCCTCTCCGCGCTCTCCACCTGCGCCCTCCTGATCGCCTTGACCGTCGCATTACTCGAACTACAAATCGGACACTCCACCTCCGCATCATGCACATCCTCATCCGTACTCAAACAACTCTGATGGTAACTGTGCTTGCACAAGAAGTGCACAACAGGCAACTCGAGACTCTTCATGCACACTTGGCAACGTGAGTTCTGGAATACCGCGGGCTTGGTGTTTAGGTTTTCCAGCTCGGTCTTCTTGGTTGCAGTGTCGGCGCGGAAGGTCTCGATGTTGCGCCGGTTGGACGCGATTTCGGCGCGCTCGCGCTCGATGGTAGTGCTGAGGTAGGCTTTTATCATGCCCATGGTTGCTACGCCGTTGGTGGAAAGAGTTTGGATTACTTGGAGGGGAGCCATGAGGCCGTCTTCGTCGATCTTCTTCAAGACCGAGTCGAGCTCGTCGCCGGCTTCGGCAAGGACGGAGGGCGTGGAGGTGAAGTAGGCGAGTGCCGCGGGGTAAAGTGCTGGTTCTAGGGGACCGTACTTGCGAAGTGCGCGGATGGCACCTTGCGTATCGTTCGCTGCCGTATAGGAGCGGAAGATGTCGAAGTGAAGGCCTTGCTGTTCGCGTACAAGAATCGCGCCATCGCGGAAGTTGGACAGATGGGAAAGTAGCAGGACGTTGGACGTATCTATGGGTATGTCCTTGCCTTCGACAAGCTTTTTGGCCTTGTTCTCCCACTCTTGTCGTTCGCCATCCTTCTTCGACGATGCAGTGTGTAGGTACATCTCGAACAGGGTGGTGTAAAGATCGACCTTGTCATCTTCGCGGAGATCATCGGATGCGATGCAGGCCTCAAGGAAGACTATGAGCTCTTGAGGGTGATCAACGAATGCGGAGAACGCAGTTCGCGGTTTCGGTACTTTGTACTCTGGAGCGGGCTCATCTGAGGTCGTCTCGACGATCTGAGCTTGGCTCATGGTACTCTTCTGTTCACCACTCGGAGGCGATGCCAACGCGTTGGTGTTCATGTATGGCAGTGGAAGTAGTGCAGCAAGGTTTTGTACAGCGCTGGAAGCTACTCCAAGACCCATACTCATACCACCGCCTCCTCCCGTTGCAGGCGTGTTGGGTATGACTATAGCATCCTGCTTGGGTCGGAATGTTCCAGTGTAATAGTCGATAAACAACTGCGTCGTATCCTTGGGAAGGTGCTGCAGCAGTACTGTCGCGTACTTCATGAGGTTGAAGTAGGCCACCTCGGGCTCCAGTCGCCATATGTAGGCCAGAGCTTCGGCGTATCGTTTCGAATCTTCGATCAGTACATCGACGACCAACTCATGCTCACCGTGTTTCCGAGCAAGGAAGGCCGCCTGGTCATAGTAACCGCCCTGTCGACACATCAAAATGGCCGTATCGAGGTCGAACTTCAGATCGTCCGGTGACTTGATAAACTCTTCAAGCTTCTCCACATCCTTCAACTTGGCATAGCAGTTTAACAGGAGCGTTGTGTGATCTGATGTGGCTTTGTGGTGGTCGTGGAGCTCCTCGAGGTACTCAATCAAGTTATGTATCCGTTGCGTATCAAGGAACTGCGTGATGTTAGTATTGGTCGTATGGCGATGGCATCATTGCATACCTTGCGGATGACCTGAGAGGGTTCTGTGTTATCGATAGCCTTCAGATACTGCTGCATAGCTGTATCGTAATCTTGCTTCGAATACAAGTAGTCACCAAACTTTCGGAGGATGATGTTCTGTTGTGACGAGTCTAGTCCGGCCTTCTGGGCCAGATTGATGGCCAAAACGTATAGGTTGCGCTGGTACAGTATGTCGAGTTTTTGAGCGAAGGGCTTCTCATGGTATCTGAAGATCTTGCCGTCGATCGTGAAGACGAACAGGTCGCCCCATTCGGAAATGACGGCCTTCACTTGCGAAGTCAACTGTTCCTGATGTGCGACAAACCTCAGCTCTGTGTTGAGCAGGGTGAAGCTCGAAGTGTTGAAGACGTCGTCGGCGGCACCGACGCCGAAAGCACGGAGAGGGTTCGACCGAGGCATCGCATTTGATTTGGGGGGTGCGACTATCGCGACATAGTCCTTGAATACGGAGATCATTTTCTTCTCACCCTCATATGTGTACGGTGGTCCGCGGCCGTGCTGACCGTAGTAGTATATGGCATCGTTTCGTGCGACGACAACGTCCCGCGACGCCTTATCCACCGCCATGCAACCCACACCACAGCCATACTCGTCAAGCGATTTGGCCGGCTGTCCTTGCCCCCTTCCAGATATTACAAGTGTCATTATACGTCCGGTCGTTGCGATATACAAGGTCGTGATGCTCCCTTCTCTGAACTCGATGCCTGTGATGGGCTCTTCCGACTCGAATACCGTCCGTTGTCGCGCGCCGCGGTCGTGTATGAGGTCACCTCGAACGACAGTGACGGCACCGTTGGCGAATCCAACTGCGAGTTGTGATAGGTCATCGAGCGCTGCGAAAGCGGATATGGGGAACTGCTTGCGCCCGTTGTGGACGGTGAGGGTGCTCTGACATCGCGGAATGCCCGTCTTCTTTTCCAGCTTGTCCAAAGCCCATACTTTCAGTACTGGCTCCCCAGAAAGGTCTTCAGCAATGGTGACGAGAAGCGAGGTGCCTTCAACCTGCTTCATGTGGGTGATTGCGCCTGCGTCATGGGCCTTGAATGCGCGCACGACCTTGAAGGCCTGCGACACGATGCGGACGATGCCATCTGCGCTGCCGAGGAAGATGCTCTCTGACCCAGATACTATGCACGTGATGTTCCCGATCTAATGGCATTTATGAGACTGTGCATGCGCAGAGGAGGTATCGTCATACCTCGGACAGGAAGGAGCTCTCGTCGTCGGGGAGCTTGACTTGCGAGACGTCGAAGAACTTGAACTGCCACTGTTCGCGCATTAGCCTGGACATTTTGCGAAGCGGAATGTGGGTGAGCCAATACGCACCGGAGTGACTGCCATACTGCTATTGCTCCATTGTCATCGCCTACTGCCTGAATGGCAGGAGCTATCGTCATTCGCGACTCCCATGGAAGCTGCGGGCAAGTGCGTCCGTGCGCGGACCGCCAATCACCAGGTAGCAGTGCGTGGCAGTGCCGGGGCTTGGCGCGTCCCTCTGTTCTTGAGTGCTGCCTCGCGCTCTCCCTTTTCTTCATCTCACTCTCACACTCCTCCCACATAATACTCCCACACCCATCTGCTCTTCATCAACAGCAGCTCCCACAACCCGCGCAACTCACTCTACATTCGCGCAAGCCCACTTTGACTCTCCTTTCACGAGTCTCACCTCCTGCGACGCGCCCTGTCATCGAACAGCGCGCCCCTTTGTCCTCAGACCTCACCGGTTCAGTCGCGCCTCCATAAAAGAGACTTTCAGCCTTCGCTACTTGTTTGCATCTACGTCGCCCACTCGACACGAGCGCGCCTTTCCATCAACGCCCGCTCACCCAAGTATTACCATCCCTCAACCACTCATCATGTCTTCAAACAAGATGGAGCAGAGCCTCGACGACATCCTCAAGGCTTCCAAGACCTCCCGCCGTGGCCGTGGCGCTCGCCGCTCTGGCGCTGGACGACCGGCCGCTGCTGCCGCCCCCGTAGGCGGTGTCGCCAAGTCGACCAAGCAAGGCAACAAGCAATCCAAGCCTGCGCCCACTGCTCCCGCCGCTTCTTTCGGCGGCGGTGAGACCAAGATCATGGTATCCAACTTGGTATGTTCAGTCCTACAACCACACCCAAATCATCACTAACATGTCGCAGCCACGGGACATTGACAACTCCCAACTCCAGGTATGTAAGACCGATGCAGGTCTTTGAGCCTACTGCAGCTTCGCTTTTGCAAGCATGAACGAACTCGATCCGACGAACCGAGACTTCCTCCTCCGCACCGGTATGGATGTTGAGCCATAGCTTGCCCAAAGTCACTCCAAGATCTGTGTTGGGCACACAAGACAGGAAGAAGACTAGCAGCATGCGAACATTCCGAGGTACCGCCGCGACGAAAGTGGGTGATCCAAGTCAATATGCTCCACTTCACTGTGTCAGCACAGACGGCAGCGCACCGGTGATATTCCCGGCAGCCTTGCAGCAACTTTAGCCCGATACAGAGCAGCGAGATGCGAAACCAATCCGTTCGGATAGCCTTTTGGCTTACAGATGGGTGTGGGCAGACACTATAAGATTGGTTCGCAGCGTTTCCATACGTTTCTCGCACAACTGCTCTCGCGCTGAGTTTGCTTCGTCTCAGAACTTACGGTCATTGAAATCTGACCAGGACACCCACTTTCTGAGCGGTACCTTCTGACCGAGTATATGGAATCGACGACGACCCACCGCCGACGCCGGAACCTCATTGTCGATCTTGCTTTACGCGCGTGAAAACTACCCTGGTACGACGACTAATACGCCTCATAGGACTACTTTGTGAATGCTGTTGGTGTAGGTCGCCCGAAGAAGGTTCTTCTCCAGTACGATGCCCAGGGCCGCAGCGTTGGCAGCGCTACCGTCATCTTCACCAAGCATGACCAAGCCGCCAAGGCCACCTCCCACCTCAATGGCGTCAAGATTGACGGCCGCCCTGTTCGCGTCGAGATGCTCGTCAGCGCCGCCGCCCTTCCCGCCGCCACTCGCCCATCTTCGCTCGCCGATCGTGTAACGTACGTACCAAAAGTTCCTTGCAGTGTAACCAGCAACTAACAAGTTTTCAGTCAGCCGAAGAAGGACAAGCCGAAGCCGGCCACCGCTGAGAAGGCTGCTCCCGGTGCCGCTCGTGGACGTGGCCAGACCCGTGGCAAAGGAAAGGGCCGTGGTGGTCGCGAGGCCCGCCCTAAGAAGAAGACCGTCGAGGAGCTCGATGCCGAGATGGCCGACTACTTCCCTGGCAGCGAAACCACTGCTGCTGCCGGCGGCGCTGAGGTTGCACAAATCACCGCCGGCGGTGACACTGCTATGGACGACGAGATGCTCTGAGCTTCTTTCGCTTTGAGACGCTTTCCACTCACTTCACTTGTCACGGTTTAATCCAACATCCAACGGAATCGGTTCGACCCTTTGCTAGTCGGTCTGCTTCAATCTTTCTTTTCTTGGAGGCGTCATCTTTTCGGAAACTGCGTTATAACGAACGTCTACTGCTGCCAACGGAACGTCAGCATCGGACACAATTCGGCTCTTGTACACTATTCATGGACGTTTATTCACGGCTCCTAAATTGCACGCCGGGTATTTGGTAGCTTCAATCAGAATGGCTATGAATCGGAAACATGATCATGAAGACTTATCTCGTCGACTCATCCATTGTGAAGTACCCTTATCCGAATGTTCACATACACTGTCCTTCCGGCTCTGTTGATATTATGGACGGAACCCGGCCAGTGTGTTGGCTGAAACACACCGAAATGGAGAGCTGCCACATTCCTAGAGCGTGGCAACATGGCAATACTGAGGCTTGCACGAACCCAAGACGGCAATGACATGCTGCAGAGAGACGATCATATAGAAGATCAGCGAGGCTTAGAAAGCTTGCTAGACAGTACGACTCGGTACAGCGGAATCGCTCCGTGCTTTTCTCCCCGAAGGACTCCGCAACAACAAAATGTGAACTCTACTCGTGCTGACCGGGTTGGCGCTTCCCAGCAGCCCGGATCACACCACCATCTGCTCATGTGTAGTGCTCTCCGGTTGATAGCTATTCGGTCCTTGCATGCTCCTATTCGCGCCGCAGTACCCCTTCGTGCGAAGTTCTCACGCCAACGTCATTAGTTCAAATTTTGTCGCACCTTCCCCGCGATTTACTAGGTGGTGTGGAGGCCCGCGGCTACTCTAGCTTCTGACCAGGATTCGGCTGGGTGAAAGGAGCGTTCATCCGACACAGCTGACGGACCGGATGAGCTGAGTATCTTGCACTCTCAATGTTTGCAATCCACGTCGCCCACGTGCATACAGCGATTACTCTAGCTCGGGGTTGTGGATCAGTGTTATCCTCGCCATACCGGTGCTCGCTCGAAAAAGGGCCGAGCTAGCTGGGGGTACGACGATATGGTCCGTAGGGCTGCCCCTTCGGCTTTAGTGTAGTGGCTCCGATGGTGGGTATGTTTTGCTTGGATACGTGTCTAGAGCTCCGAGCTTAGTCCTGCGGTATGCGTTACAGAAAGATGCTGTATCGAGATGACCACGCGCCGCAAGTGGAGAAATGCCTTTTGCGGATGCGCATCAGTTGCCAATAGGTGTCTATTCCAAATTAGAGACTCCAATACCGCGTGTAGCAGGGTTAGCTGCGGCTTCGACGACCTCCAGAGCAGAACTGCGGGGGAGGGGTAGCTTACCACTGGCTACGAAAGCGGGGCAAGAGCTTCCGCCGTTGCATCAAGCGCCACCCGGCCATGCATCGTCGAGACACGCAATAGGCTGCAGCGCTTTCCTGAGACTGGCTCCTGATGGCCGAGGCTGTCTGGGCGATCGTACTGTTGTCCTGTCTCGAGTGGAGATAACCTCTAGTGTCGTCATGCGGAGCTCCTGAAAGTACTTAAGGATTTGCTTGTGCCTCTACCCCTCCTTCACTTCACAGCTTTGTTTTGTCCATATACCCCAATTCGCTTTCGCAATGACATCCGTAAAGCTAACAACCCCCCAAACGGGCGAGTACGAGCAGCCCACCGGACTGTAAGTCAGATATCCAGTTTCCGATATTCTTCGGGGACTTCGTAATGCTTCGGTATCTTCAATACTGACATCAACCAGCTTCATCAACAATGAGTTCGTAAAGGCCGTTGACGGCAAGACCTTTGAGGTCATCAACCCATCTACCGAGGAGGTCATCTGCAATGTTGCCGAGGCCACCGAGAAGGATGTTGACATTGCTGTCGCTGCCGCACGCAAGGCCTTCAACGGCCCATGGCGGAAGGAGACACCAGAGAACCGAGGAAAGCTGCTTGTCAAGCTCGCCGACCTCTTTGAAAAGAATGCCGATCTTCTCGCCTCAGTCGAGGCTCTCGACAACGGTAAGGCTTTCAGCATGGCCAGGAACGTCGATATCCCTGCTGCCGCTGGTTGCTTGAGATACTACGGAGGATGGGCCGACAAGATTGAGGGCAAGGTCGTCGACACAGCACCCGACAGCTTCAACTACATCCGCAAGGAGCCCGTAAGTTCTACGTATTTCCATGCCCAAAACCGCGACTAACAATTTCAGATTGGTGTTTGCGGACAAATTATCCCATGGAACTTCCCCATTCTTATGTGGTCATGGAAGATTGGTCCTGCCATCGCCACTGGTAACACCGTTGTCATCAAGACAGCTGAACAGACTCCTCTCTCCGCATACGTAGCTTGCAAGCTCATCCAAGAGGCCGGTTTCCCACCAGGTGTCATCAACGTCATCACCGGTTTCGGAAAGGTCGCTGGTGCCGCCATCTCCGCTCACATGGACGTCGACAAGGTTGCCTTCACTGGTTCGACCGTCGTCGGCCGTCAAATCATGAAGGCCGCTGCTGGCTCCAACTTGAAGAAGGTCACTCTTGAGCTTGGAGGCAAGAGCCCCAACATCGTTTTCGCCGATGCCGATCTCGACGAGGCCATTCACTGGGTCAACTTCGGTATCTACTTCAACCACGGACAGGCTTGCTGCGCTGGATCGCGTATCTACGTCCAAGAAGAAATCTACGACAAGTTCATCGCCCGCTTCAAGGAGAGGGCCGCCCAGAACGCTGTCGGTGACCCATTCGCCAAGGACACCTTCCAGGGACCTCAGGTCTCGAAGCTCCAATTCGACCGTATCATGGGGTGAGCAATGTCATATCCTTCCAAAACTGAAGCCAATGCTAATATAAATTCTAGCTACATCGAGGAGGGCAAGAAGTCCGGCGCAACCGTCGAGACCGGCGGCAACCGCCACGGCGACAAGGGCTACTTCATCGAGCCCACCATCTTCTCCAACGTAACCGAAGACATGAAGATCCAACAAGAAGAAATCTTCGGCCCCGTCTGCACAATCTCCAAGTTCAAGACAAAGGCCGACGTCATCAAGATCGGCAACAACACCACCTACGGTCTTGCCGCCGCGGTCCACACTTCCAACCTCACCACTGCCATCGAGGTTGCCAACGCGCTCCGCGCCGGAACTGTTTGGGTTAACTCTTACAACACTCTTCACTGGCAGCTGCCATTCGGTAAGTTCTGGCTGTACGAAATGCTTGTGAGATATATACTGACTTCTTATCTACAGGTGGTTACAAGGAGTCTGGTATTGGCCGCGAGTTGGGTGAGGCGGCGCTGGACAACTACATCCAGACTAAGACTGTTTCCATTCGTCTTGGTGATGTGCTGTTCGGTTAAGTAAGCGGTGGAGATGGGTTCGAGTGAGTACTGTGTATAGTTCAAGTAATCATGGAGAATCTGAATGAATGAATGTAAAGAACCACAGCAAGTTTTCTGATATATGGTGTGACATGACCGTTCTCGTATACACGGTGTTTGAAGGAAACGTCAACTCCAATGCGCAAGACCAGTGTCTACGATCCTGTGAAGACGCTGATGATACGACGTCACACTGCCCAAGACTCTGTGACGGGAAAAAGTTATAGAAACTATGTACATGACAGTCACGACATCATCCCTCCACAATCTCCCCAAAAACCTTCACCCCCTTCCTTCCCAACGCAGTCCCCACGCCCACCGCCCCCGCACCCACATGTCTCATCCTCTCAAACCCACTCTTATCCTCCACACCCCCCGTCCCAATGACCATAATCCGCTTCAACGCCTCCCTCTTATCCAGCATCTCCCTCAATATGCGCACATTACCCAGCGCAAGGGGATGCAACGGCGCGCCCGCCAGCCCCCCAATCCCAGACCCATTCGCTGAGTTGAGCGCAGGACTGATCTTGCTTTCACCACCCACGTCCTGTGGAGACAAGACCAGAGACGAACCGAGTGTGTTCACGGCGGTGATGAAAGAAATAGGGCAGGGGAGGTAGACTGGTTTCATTTTGTTCTCCGCGCTCTCCTCCAATACGCTTATCAAGGCATCGAATTGCTCTTGGTACGTATACGGCGGTATCTTGATGCCAACGGGTATCTGTGTCTCGCCCCCGCTTTTCGTGAGGCCAACATCGATGGCTACTTTGAGCGCGGCGAGATATTCGCGTAGGGCGTCAGCGTTGTAGGCTGGTGGTGTCTTCCCTGGGATGTTTGGGCAGGAAAGGTTGATTTCCATGGCTAGTGGCATTTTCACACTGTGTTGGATAGTGTAGATGAGCTGGTAGCATTGCGCCACTTCCTCCACGCTTCCGGTTACGGAGATGAGAATTGGTTTGAAGGTTTCCCTTCCTTTTGGCGGGTCGGAAAGCAGGGCATCGCTGATCTTGCCTACGAAGTTGAGGTACTGCCCGAGAACGAGGGGTGAGTAGCCGAGTGTGTTTAAACTGCCTGTTGTTGTGGCATCGCCGGCCAGATCGGTATTTGGGGTGCTGGAACTATGGGTGGATGGGTTGAAGAAAGTGAATTGGTGGTGCGCGGGATCGTGTGGGAAGCCTTTCAAGAAGGATGTGCGCGTTGTGATGGCGCCTGTGTGTGGACTATCGTAAAGTTCCTGGAGTTGCTCAAGGCTTGTGCACCATGGGTTTGCGGAATTGAGGAGGGGTGGGTCGATGTTCAAGGAAGCCATCTTTGAATACCGATTGCCGGTCAGGGTAGGAAAATGGTTTGGAAAGTGAACGGGTTCTGCGAGTTTGATGGCACGTGGCATCTGGCTGCGCAAGTGGGGTTGCGGTGATAAGCTTTGTATAGTGCCGCTGGGAGCATGATAGCTTGAGATACGTAACAGGAAGGTCACTACTTCCGCCATTACCACGGACAAGCGTTCAATGTTCAAAATGCTGCATTAATGAAGCTAGCGCTACCCTACTCTTTCAATGATAATATACAAGAAACCCCAACCGGACTCCTAGACACAAACCCCACCCCAGCCCGACAAACCCCAGAATGAAAAAAAAAGAAAAGCAATGCAAAGGATTTGCCGCCCATAAATGCTATGCGCCGATGCATGCCAGAGTAGGTACCAATTTCATTACCTTTGTCTTTCCGTGATTGCGCCCAAACGCCATGCTTGCGTCCCTGAAGCCGAAGAAAAATCAAAACGCCAGTCAAAAAGGAATTAGAGAAAAGACGTGTCTGGGGACCAACTTCTGCTCTGCTGACTTCACTCGACTTCTTCTTTAGAAGCTGGCATAGCCTGTGTCTTCGCCGCCAGCATCGTCCATCCAACCCGCGCCGACTTCACCTAGGCCAGGGCCGTGGTGATGGTTGCGCGCCATACCTTCGCCCTCGCCTCGTTCAACCCACTCTTCGTTGATGTCGTGCCAGATGCGCTGGAAGTAGAGGCGCAGCGAGCGTAGACCACGGAGGTAGCCTCTATCAATGCCATCCGGGTTCTGGGGTGGGCAAGGTAAGTCGTCAGGTAGCGGGTCTTCTGCGGTGACACAGTTTGCGAAATCGACAATCTTGAGCTTAATCTCTGGGAGGTTCTTAGGTGTCGATTTGGTGGCGGATGTTGGTCCTGGTGACGTAGGTCCGGATGGTATTACTGACACGTCTTCGCTGCTTGGGTTCGATAGACCGTTGGGCAGAGAGGGCTGCGCGTCTTTTTCCTTCGACTCTCCATCCCCACGATCGTAGAGCATCAGCAAGCTGCTTGCGTAGAATCGGTAGCCTGGAAGATTCCGTATCATGCGCTCCAGCTGACTGATCTTCTCCAGTATGACAGGAATATGTCTTGTCGCTGCTTTATAACTTGTCCCATCCCAGAAAAAGCGCTTCAGCGCATCCTGGAACTCTCTACCAGCCTTCAAGTCGCGGCCAAAGTACTTGTCTTCAAAGATGTAGCTTTGGGTTTTGGCGTTCCAGATCTGCATGCCGCAAACACGTACGCCGAGCTGGGCGCTCGTTGTCATCTTACACTTGCGTCTTTGAGACTTTTGTTTCTTCTCATCGGCTTCCACTCCATACTGCCGCGTGCCCATTTTCAGGTCCAAGACACAAGGCCTGGACATGCCTGCGGTAAGGTCTTCCAGAAGGATGAAGTGCTGAACGCGCTCGTCGGGTTGTTGTTGCGCTTCTTCGGGATTGGAAGGCTCATCGCCAAGCAGGGCGCCGTTGCCATTTGGTGCAGCAGGGGCTGGTAGCATTGTGCCTTCTGATGGTGTCTGGGGATGAACCCCGTTTGTTGCGCCAGATGCTTGCACAGATCGGCCTCGGTGCTGATCTTTTGCGTCTGACATGGCATTGCGATCCTCGTCCATAGCAAATACTTCCTCCTCTGCGTCACCACCGTAGCCATCCTCTTCGTAGTATTCCAGGTTATGTCTCTGGACAGTATCTATCCCCAAGGGTCTTCTAGTAAGTCCACTGCCAGAATGACGACGGCGGGGAAGATTGTTCGATGGCGGCTTCAGGGCATCGGCGGTGGTGTCTGGCTGGCCAAGGGAGCTGGAAACGGGAGCATCAGCGCTCCTTTCCGAGGCAAAGCGGTGCGCTTCAGCTTTCAGAACTTGTTTCCGTGTGGACTCTTCTGTGAGTGGTGGATGCAATCCAGCTACATCTGTGCTGTTCCTCCTTATCGTAGGCGCAGAGCCAGCCACGTTCTGCGGAACGTCTCCTCCCGCCTTACGAGCTGAGATCCCGTGATGATGATGGCGTGGTCGATGATGAATAGTTGGCGGCGCAAAAACCTGCCGGAGTACCTCCTCCTGTAGCTTTCTGTTGATCGTCGTCACACCCCAACTGCTGGCATGCTGCAATGGGGGCCGACTTGGGCTCGTAGAAATGTGACCATAGTCACTTTGGTTTCGTCGATGTTGTTGTTGCAACAAGGAAGCATTGCGCATCCATGGATCTGGGGTGGTGGAGCGCGGTGGCACGCGGAACAGATTGTCTGGGATTATGTGCCGGTTGTTCTCAAAGATGACCTGGGGGATGGGCATAATCTGCTGCGAGTGGCTGACCACTCGAGGTTGTTCCGCATTGCCCCGGTCTTCGGGAGCCTTTGAAGCCTGTCTTGACGCGCTTTCCGACTGCGTCGCTGAAGCAGTGGGAACCGCATCAGATTTCGCTTTGTCTTTGGCAACCTTCTTCTTCTTGGGGGCTTTTCGGTAGGTCACGTTCAACACACCGATGTATCTAGATGTCAATGTTAGCAAATATCCTAATCAAGAACCGAGGCGAAGGCAATGATCTTCGCTGATGTCTCAGCCTCGATCAATAGCGGGGGGAGAGGTCGTACCTTGGTAAGAATTCCAACAGCTCAGGATGCTGCCGCTCCACTGTTTCGTAAAACTCATTCTCTCGATTGTTTAGCTGTTTGCATACTGCTCGCCTAGAGAAACGGTAAACAGTAGAATGACCGCCAACTTGGTGATCGTATGGCTTCAGCTCCACAGCACCCAGTGGGGCCGGCGGCTGAGCCACCTGAGGCGCAGCAGCCTTAGGTTCCTGTTTATGCGAAGTCGCAGTGGGCGTCGTTCCTAGTTCATCAGTCGCACTGGATTCATAACCAAGATTTGATTGAGTAGACTCGGCGTGCGACTCAGACTCAGATTCAGCTGAGAGCGCATCGGGAGCGGTCAGCGGCTGCTCTTTATCTTTCTTCAAGGAAGTCGCCGTGGAGATATCACCATGAAGGCATTGATTGGTATCTTGGGCCTTTAGAGAAATTTCTACTTCTTGTGGAGTTTGAACATCCTTCTCTGTGGCCCACCCTTTCGGCCCCGCAACCTCGTGAGTTGAAGCCCGCTTATCGACAGCATTCACCTCTCTATCTCGGTTCTGTGGTTCTGTAGGCACCTGCTCACTTGTCTTAAGCCGGCGATGGGGAAAGTAGAGAGCCGAAGAGATCTGTTCTTTTTCCGATTCTTCATCTTCCTCCGAGCCTGGCGTACGTTCTTTATCGCCTCCGTCTTTAACCTGAAAATAATCGGACGGCTCGTCATAAGGTGTCGCTCCGTTCGTTGGTGCATGCGCGTGAACCTTTTCGACAGCTGATGTGGGTAGACTGCGAGAGAACGAAGACCGTGGGTCCGCACCAGGAGTCAGGTTGCCGAAGCCGCGAATGTCCTCGAGAAGACGCCTTGGGAATTTGTGCTTGTCCTGAGAACTTGCGTCTGGTCGCGTGCTTCCGTTGGGAGGTGGAGAGGCAACGCCTGACTCGGTGCGGGGCGCCGCTTTCGCATCGAAGTATGAATCAGTCGGACCGCCTAGAGGTGATTGCACGACGGAGGAAGCTAGTGATGCGCGGCGCAGCTGGTCAATGAGGCCGATAGTCTCGGTTGAGCCTTCTTCTGAAAGTGCGGACAGGGTCCTCTCAGCAGAAGGACGCTCTTTTGTCTTGTTGTCCTTCTTCTTGGGCTCTTCGGTAGGATCGCCATCCTTGAATACGCGCAGATAGTGACTTGCTTTTCGACTGCGTGCGGAAGTGGGTTGTTCGGTCTTGGCAAGCGTTGCTTCAATCTTCTTCTCCATTTCCACGTCCATGACGGGCTGATCCAAGATCATATTGCCCTTGAATGGCACAGGCTTCCCTTCGCGCCACTCCCTGTTCCTGCGCCTCTCTTCGCTCTCCAGCAGAGCCTCGTATTGGAGCTCGGGACGTGGCGGGGTGGTGGGGTGTTGTACGGGCGAGTCGACTGGGCTCATGTAGGGCGGAGGACTGTGATGGATGGCGTCGAAAGTCATGCCGGCTGCAATGGCTGCGCGGGGGTTAAAGGGGGTAGTCAGGACGGCCTGGTGGTCGATGGAAGAAGGCGGAGGAAGGGTGGAATGCTTCCTGCGTATGATGGGCGGATCCATCAATCGCCTCTGGGGAGGTGCTGGCGCTGCCATCTCAGCCAGACTGTGTTCGGGAGCATCGTTGGCAGAATCTACATTGCGTGCGCTGGCCCGCGGGGAGGAGATGGGGCTGTCGGAGACGAGGTACGTGGTTGCGAAGATGCTGTCGCGCTCGTCGAGCTGGGGGCGGTCAATTGACGACTTCCAGAGGTTGCTCTCGTTGACAATGGGCGCGGTGCGTGAACGGCCCGTCTGCGCGAGGCTCTTGGGCGTCACTTGGTCGTGCTCGGCGTCGGGCGTGGGCAGTCCATGGCTGGCCGTCGACCTCACCGATGCGGGGGGTGAGGTATTTCCTTGGGCGTCCGGCTGGGGTGACATGGGCTCGACATTGATTCGACCGTCAGGAAGGCACCTCGTGGCGGGATGGGTGGCAGATATTGCCGGGCGGGCGCTCAGGACGTTGGCCAGGATGCGGTCGTTTGGGCGCGGCGGAGACACAGCGGAGGGCCAGCAGGGGCGGATCTTCTAGATTAGCGTGCAGAGCAGGCGCTGGCGGATGCGAGGGCTGCAGGCGGTGTTCCAGGGTGCTAGCGAGCGACGAGACCAGTGAGAAGGGCGAGAGGTCCACGTTCTAATTCTGTGTGGTTTGGCGTCCAGTCCAGAGTGGCGCAAAGATTATCCCAAGCGAGCGGCCCAATGACGTCTGCCTGACTGCTACCGCGTAACAAAGCGCGTCAGTGCAGGTGGTCCGAGTGGTGGTGGTTGTTTCGCGACGCCGAGTGCAGTGAGTGGACGCGAGTTTGTTTTGCTGCCGTACGGAGGCAGTGAACAGGTGGCTTGTTGATT